ACACCAGCAGATCCACTGTATCGATTTCTGGCATGAGAGTTATCAGTAGTGAAGGGCGAACAAATTACCCATTAACTTTGTCAGTGGACGATGATGACAATTCATTGAGTTTAACAGCACAAGTGATGTCATCAATATCAGCAGCAAGAGTTTGTGGTTATATGCAACAGGCTCTCATCTCACTTTCCGATGCATTAACACACACACCAGAGAAATCGGTGCGAACATTGATAGTGATGCCAAGCGAAGAACGAGAAATGCTATTGCATAATTGGAATCAAACGACAGTCAATTATCCACCTGTCTGTTGTCTTCATGAATTATTCGAGATGCAGGTAGCTCACGATGGACATGCAATTGCAGTGGAATGTGAGTTAGAAACATTGAGCTACGAAGAACTCAATACGCAGTCAAACCAAATAGCGCACTATCTGATTGCAAAAGGTGTTAGGCCAGATGATCGGATCGCACTATGCATTAAACGAAATTCAAAAATGCTCATAGCTCTTTTAGGAATTTTAAAGTCCGGTGCTGCCTATGTACCTCTCGATCCAGCTTATTCCAGTCAACGTCTAACCAATATTCTACAGGATTCCGAGCCTTTGTTTCTTTTGGCAGATTGCACTGGCCAGAAAGCACTTGGCACTCATCACATTCCGATTGTGGACTTAGATCAGACTATGTCCAATGACCTTTCAACCGATAATCCTGACCCGACCACACTCGGACTCACTCCTTCGCATCTAGCCTATGTGATATACACATCTGGCTCAACTGGCATACCGAAAGGAGTAATGGTAGAGCATAAAAATGTTTTTAATTTAGCTCATGCTCAATCTTCGCTTTTCGGAGTAACTGTTAACAGTCGAATTCTGCTGTTTGCATCCATATCTTTTGATGTCAGCTTACAAGAAATTGTAATGGCTCTAACAAATGGAGCCTGCCTTTGCCTGCCAAATGATGAAATACGCCGAACGGACACCTCTTTGCTTAAATATCTTAGAACCAGAAATGTTACTCATGCATATTTACCACCAGCTCTAATCCGAAATACAACAAACACTGCAGACTTAAAGGTCTTGCAAGCACTTATTTTGGGCGGTGAAACACCTCCGCTATCCCTTTTACAAAGTGCCATTTCTAAAACAGTCATTTTTAATGCCTACGGACCAACCGAAGTGACTATGTGCGCAACCACCTGGTCGTGTCCGTTAGATTTCCAAAATCATTTGATCCCAATCGGTCGTCCGCTGTCTAACATACAGATTTACTTATTGGATGCTCATGGTGAGCCAGTGCCATTGGGAGCCGAAGGAGAAATATATATAAGTGGTGCTGGTGTGGCTCGCGGCTATTTAAATCGACCTGAGCTTACCGCGGAACGATTTTTACCTGATTCATTCAGTGACAAACCATCGGCACGCATGTACCGCACCGGTGATCTAGCTCGTTATTTGCCTGATGGTAATCTTGTCTTCCTAGGACGTACTGACCAACAGGTTAAAATCCGCGGCTTCCGAATTGA